CCAGATATTTCACTCACCTCTGGCAGTATTTCATTTGTGCAGAATCAATGGACCATTTATTGAAAGACTCTTAACAGAAATGCATCAGATAAAGTATTTATCATTGCAGTTTCACAGATCCCGGCGTGCCAGCAAACGCTGTGGATGAACCAGGCCATTGTCTCCGTTCTATTCAAAACATTTTTGTGTGGTAGTGGAACAAGCTGAAACTAATCATTTTAATTATGAAACAAAGCGCACTGCATTCTAATCTGCATTGTCTTCTTGAGAAAATGTGAGTTTTTTTCATGTTAGCAGACATGAAAACTTGCACATCTAGGGTGAGAATTGAGGGACTGTTTTCCCAATGAACGAATGAAGGTGTTTTAGTTAAACAAGTATTCTCAAGACATCATGCATGTAACAAAAAAACAATGTTGCACTTTGTTATTTTTTCTGTGTAGGTTATTAGGCTGGGAAATTAAATCTAATATTTTTTTTCAAGCTGCATAAGAGCTAAAGGAGAAGATGATTTGATGCTACACGTTACAATGCTGGACCTTCAGGGAAGACAGAAATTCAGCAAGAGAAAAGAAACATGGAAAGATGAAGAGACAAAACATCATTTTTACCATTCAAGTTGGTGTACTGTCTAGCTATTCAACCTGGCAAAGTGGTTATTTCAGGACAGTAAATCTGACACAGAAAAACTATTGAATGTAATGTTTAACTTCTGCACAATATTCCATGTACTTGAATTTAAGCAGCGGAGAGGGTAGCACACATCAGGTGCCTTAAACGAGGGACTTCCTCACCCCCGCAAACATGTGAGAAACTGTATGGGTAGGAGAGTTCTGGACTGCCTGCTCGCTGTCTACCCGTTTCAGTTTCAGAGGGTGAAATCATTCTCCCTGCATGTCAGACAGATTGTTTTATGCTCCACTCTCATAAATCAAAAGTTAATCACACTTTCTGGACAAATTTATTTAAGGTGAAAAGATGAGCATATTTAAAAACAGTACTACACTAATTACTCATTCAACATGTTCATTATGCCTTCTGGAATCTTCTGTAAGTATTCATTCCTCTCTCAGGACCAGGAAGAGCTGCTTATCACCGCTGTCACATCCCTGCCACCTTATTTAGCCCATCGCTGCTGCCTCCGGAGGCAGTTTCCGCAGACATGAGGCATCGCGACAGTCCAGGTGACACGTCCAGAGGCACTTTGCCGATATGTCCTACGGAGGTTCTATTGGACACATGAGCATGACCACAATATCTCATAAACCTTCCCCGAAGGAGCAGAGTACATCTGTCAGTAGTGGTTTTTGAGGTTAGGGCTCAAGCCTGCTCTTGTTTGCGGAGACAAAACATCTGAGGCGTAATAATGAGAGGACTCGCTGGTCATCCACCTCTGCAGCCGTGTTTGCTCTCCAACAAAAGCATGTTGATCTAATAAAGGAGAGTTTGACCCGCTGGCATCAGCTCAGATTTTCTCATTCATTTTGACTATATGATAGGAAGTGGCCGTTGGGGAAAAAAGCACTTAATTCTGCATGGTAACCTACAAATGACTGAAACGCAGGTTCACTCAAGGACATGGCATCACAAGGAAGTAGTCTGCGTCAAGGTGGCTCACAACAGCGCAGTCAAACACTTAGTGCTTTGGGCGTTCTTCGCTTTAGCCTCCATCTGAAATTCTGGTGTCAGTCCAGCCGTTTCCCTACTTTGGAATGTGCCACATTTTGAGGAACTCCCACCGGTGTATTTCTGGTAGATAATTTGCTACTCAGTGGATCGCTGGTGTAGTGGAACAGCGCCTCCGAACAGTGTTTCTCGCTACGGTCCGTGTGACTGTTCTGGGCAGGAAGTGACAGTTTGCTGTTATTTTTGGGGAAAAGTGAGTAAGTCTGACATTAGCTTATTTGCCAAGTTAAGTGTTAAACCCTGCCCCATTGAGTATGTTTAACATAGAGCAGCCTGGTCTTCTCTGCTTTTGTGTTTGATCTCTGATTTCCCATGTTTCTCAAAGGCTTTGTCGGAAGAGCTTGGCGCCTGTTTTCTAGATTCTCAAACAGTTAGAGACACCAGAACCAATTTACTCAGAATTTATCCAGGGAAAACTTGCTGAAGAAAAATGTCTGTGAAGCAGGGGTAGGTGGCAGTGTGGCTGGTGAATTCTGGCTGTTAGCCAGAAATCTCCCAAACATTTGTTTTACACGCCAGACATTATGGGCACTTTGAGGCTGATTGACATGCCTCTTTAGCTGGGAGGTACCTGCTAATTTTTGGGCACTCAGGAGACCAGGTTTGGATAAGGTTCCTCTCCGCTGGTTTTTGTCATTTTTGTCAAACTGATCAATTTTGTCCCTTGTATCAAATGTGATTTTCTTTTTTCTTCAAGAAGCAAGACATTAATCCATTTTTCACAATTAAAACGCTTTATGTACTGATGAATTTTCAAAGAAAAACAACAAATGATATTCTCTGCCTTGTTCTGAATTACACATTTTTGGCCATGCAATGAGATGAAACTTCCAATGACCATTTCAAAGAAATTCTCCTCAGCAAAGCTTTGACTGTTTTTAGTGATGTGGCAAAGTTATCCTGCCAAATGATGTGATGGGATAAATTACAGCATATAAAGGATCCAGAATCACACTCAATCCATAGGACTACCTGGCCAAACTTTTCCAACTTAGTCTTAAAATGCAAATTCAGCTGTTAAGATCTGTACAGTCAGTATTTTTTTTTTCTGTCTTTCCCTTTACCTGCTAGAATCACTTGGGTCTTTAAAGAACAATTTGTGCCTTTGCTCTCCACACTAAGTGTCACAAAGAATGGTGAAGATTTATTGCCTGGACATCAAAAGCAGACATTCATCGGCTTATTTTTCCTTGAGCTGCAACTTTCTGTTTAGCTGGAGTCTATTGGGAGGAAAGTTTCCGCCGTTTCAGAAATTGACACTCACAGGAGACATGCTCACAGACGCCATCACCCCATAAACACCAGCCAACACTGACCTCCTACTGAAAGGTCACTCTGGTTTCTTACAGCAGCCAAGCGATGAGTTTGACACGCCCCCCCTCCAAATTTCATTTGCTAGGGCTGTAAATGTGTAGTGTAGCAGAAGCAAGTCCCCTCCCCCCCCGTCATTGCAAGGTGCACATGCATTCAGCCTGTAATCACATTTTCTCCCTGAGAGCTCTGTGACGTGTATTTTTTACTTTTCCTGGTTACACCGAGGCAAACAGGCCTATATTCACAGCGTTATATCTAGAGACTCATCATTTTTGCCCACATATTTAGCCAAGTGCTAGAGCAATTTAGGTTAACGTACTTTATCAAATATACAGCAGAATAACCCCTCGGGGATTTTCAGATTACAAGCTTGTGGCTTTAACCCCCCATACTATCTAATGCTGCAGCAGCTATTGACTGAATTGGCAAAGCGCTTATGTCTGAACCAGTATCTGGGTATTTCTCTAATTGTCCCTGTGTCATACCAGAGGGTATGGCAATGACATGGCGGAGATGGACTTGTGCGGTGCGCGTGTGACTCTGCAGACGTCACGTGTGCAGAACAACAGCCCTGAGGTCAAAGTCCCCTCAAACAGCCCATTTGTAACCACAAATACAGGATCGTACGTGTGTTTTCCACAGCCACAGAGATGTGACTAATGCCCCTTGGTGCTGCGGCACCACATCACCAGCAGGGGAAGCGAATCGCACTGAGATGGATGGTGCACACACAGCTTCTTGTCCTGCTTCGGGCCTCTAACATACGTCTGCGAGAGACTTCGATCCAAAACAAAATTGAAAATGCAGACAAATGTTTCATTTGTGGCAGGTTAACGCCCTCTTGCTGCAAGAGCCGCCAGGGCAGACCCTAAGCCATGAAAGAAAAATGGATAGTCAGCTCTAACAGGTGTACCAGTCTACCAACTGTTTGCTTATGCTAAACATAACCTCCAAAGGACAAGAGAAACTCTCTTCATACACCTTGAAAATCCCAGTTTGTCAAAAGACTTCTTTTTTAAATCAACCTTGCAAATGTAGCGATTCTCACCAAGCGGCTGCACGTGGTTATGCTGTACCTGTTATACATGTAGACAGACTTCTCTTTAACATTACGCAGAGTTCGTCCAGTATATACATCAGGGTTCCTGGCCTTAAAGGCTCAATTGGGATCCTCGTTTAAGTTCAGAAAGTCACAAGGACAGTGAGATGTTCAGCCTGATTGGCAAATTTCTGTAAAAAGTGAGAGGTACAACAGTTTGAGGTCGAGTAAACTTAGGGTTTAATAACAAACACTTAGCAGACATGCCCAATTTCACCCTAAGGAGAAGGGAGTGAAGTCAAATAAATAATTAAGGCATCTCGTTTGCTCCTTGATAAATAGCTAGTTGTGACCCAATGCGGGAGGTTGTTTGTGTCTCAGGCCATTTTCAGTTGTTTCCTTCTCCTCTCGTGCACCTGCCTTTGGTAAATGTCTCCGAGGCGACGTGCCGGTGGGTGGTTTCCGGGAGTCGTCAGAGCACAAGTGACAGCTGATGCACGTATGGCATGAGAATCTGCCCAAACTGGGAGGAGAAAGGGCTGTGGTGCCGGTGACAGGTGCCCGATACCCACGGCATGTGGGGACCGTGAAGGCGGGGAATATTCTGGAGCAGAATGCAAAGGGAGCTGTTTTCCGATAGCCGAGGGGCAGAACCTGGAGACACCGGAAAGGTTCCCACTAAATTCTTTCACAGGATTTATAAAGCTCAGTTCTTTAAAAAACTCGCCCTGGGGGGAGAGGGAGAGGAGACGATGGATGACAAAATGAGGACGACCAGTGAAGCCGGTTTTGTTGTTTAAAGGAGAACAACACAACAAAACAAGTAAACAGAAAGATCTACTGGTGAAGGGAGGGATGGACCACAAAACAGCAGGTTAGGAATCTGATTACGATTTATGGGCACCGATGCTAAGGATATGCCGACCATCATGCACGTGTGGCAGCCACCCGGCTGACTTACCGTTGGGAAGCTTGTCCCTGTTTTCCACCAGCCAGGCAAAGAGTTCGGAAAAGTCACAGTCGCAAACCCAGGGGTTCCCCTCAAGGCGCACCACCTTAAGGGATGGCAGCTGGCTGAGGGCGCCGACCTGCAGGCTGGACAGGGCATTGCGCTCCAGCTCGAGTTCACGCAGGGAAGTGAGGCCCAAGAAGGCGTCCTCGCTGACCATGCTGAGGTACGGGTTGCTTCCCAGGCGTAGCTTGATGAGGCTTCGGGACTCCCCAAAGGTTCCCGTCGGGATCTCTGTCAGGTTGTTGCTGCCCAGGTCCAGGAAGACCAGCCTGGAGGAGGGGCTGATGGTGCCTGCCTCAATCTGGGTGATTGAGTTGTTACGGAGGTCCAGGTAGACGAGGTCACTGTAGAGGACCAGGAAGTCAGAAGGAATCTTGGGGATCCAATTGTTGGAGAGCAGGAGGCGGCGGACATCCAGCGGGAGGGGTTCTGGCAGGCGAGTCAGCCCCCGGCCACTGCAGTCCACCGTGTGGGGGTCCGGGCACAAGCAACTGGGCGGGCAGATTGCCCCCCACGTCAGTAAGGCAGAGGAGAGCAAAGCAAGGAGAGGCTGGATCCAGCGTACACATAGCAACATGGTCAAGAGGCGGTGGGGGTGGTCGACAGGGATTTAGGACAGGGAGGGTTGGGATGAGGGTTACCGAAGGGAAGGGGGAGGGGGGCGGGGGTCAGAGGGTGGGAGATTAGGACAGGGGAGGGGGGCAGCCAGAGGAGAGAAGGAGGAGAAATCAGAGCTCCAGGAGAGCCATCCCAGCATGCCCAGAAAGTCCCACTGTGGCGGAGCGTGGCGGCGGAGCGCGGGAGATGCCCGGCGACGTGTCTCCGAGGGATCATCTAGCAAAGTCGACCGGATCGGGTGGCAGCCTGCGTGCTTTTGAAGGAAGAAGGGGAGGAGAGACAGCGAGGGAGCTTGAGAGAGCGAGAGAGAAGGAGAGAGAGAGAGAGAGGACGAGTCGAGTCGGGAGAGGGAGTGAGAACGAGCAGGAGAGAGAGCCAGCCAGCGAGCAGGGAAGATTAGCAGAGAGGTAAACAGAAACAAGCAAACCACGAGCCGGGAGAGGCTGGTCCGGGGGCGGGGGTGGAGGTGGGGGTGTCGCGGACAGGGGGAGAAGGCTGCTTAATGCGCTGCCGACCTCAGGGGCCCTAATTAATGAGGCATCTGCCTCTTGGACACAAAGAAATGTCGAGGGGGACCGGTGAGCTTCAATGCGGTGCCCTGGGAGCTAGAGCCTGGGGGGGGCTGACTCGGGGAAAGTGCATGCCATGCTGTCGTGGTGGCAGCGGGAGGCCCAGAAGGGCAACGGGTTCCGGGGATGGCGGTCACGGCGTGTCACTGTATGGTTTCCTGGCGGAGCGCTCCAGCCCTGCGGAAACTCAGCACCGCTCTGTTGCCATGGTGAAGAGCTGAAAACATTTAAACCGAGTTGAGTCTTGCCAGGAAAGATTTTTGGTTGACAGCCGCTGATAGCGAGGAGAATTAAGTTCGGTTATCGTCCCCTGTTCTGTCAGTCTAGGTATTTAAAGTAAAACCTGAGGTTACAATGTGATGTCATTCGTGGGATGACAGGAAGCTAAAGTGTATCATGTGTGAGTTTTTTCACAAATGGGGATACACACATGTCATTTGGTGGAATGGCATCAGAAAAATCTGAATTTAATTTGTTTTCATTTAACAAGAAATCCATAAATCCATCTTTTCTCCAACCATTTCTCCTGGTCTGGAGCAGCACCTGGTACACCCTGGATGAGATACCAGTCCATGGCAAGGTGTCATAGATGTAGATGTAGACACACTCACAGTTGCACACTTGGTACAATTGTTGCACTGCATGTTTTTGGAATATAAGAATAAACTGGAGTATTGTAGGAAAGCCGTACCAAGAGAAGAAGAACAAACGCACATCACACCATTCATACCTATGGACAATTTGGCAATAATTAGCATGTTTTTCAGGGGGGAAACTGGAATACCTGGAGGAAACTCCATAACAACACAGGAAGAACATGGAGCGTGGGGAGTGATTTGACCTCTGGTCCCAGAGGAAGGAGGCACCAATACTAATCACTGCACCACCACGACTCCATACCACCCCTATCAGATAATCAAATATGTTAATAATTATTAACAACTTATTACATATTAAAACATCAAAGAACTGAACTGTGCCACCATATGCTGAAAGCTGCAGCTTTTGTTAAAAAAAAAAGGGAGAGAGACTAAAATCTTTAATTATAATTTAATCATGGAGCTTACTTAACAATTATGATCGAAATTAAGTCATCCCCAATTAAGGTCCCATGAGAGGTAACATTAATATTAATGTTAAAGGCATGATTCATGAAACCTGAGTGATCCAGCAATCCCACAAATAGGAGGGAACCCAGGAAATTATTGCAAGATACAGTTATATAAAGTCCTAGGCCATGCAACACCATGCCTTTGACATAGAGAGACTCACATTGCTGGCAACCTCACTGAAGCACCCAAAAATGGCTTGAGCCCAGTTGGCCGGCCCATGGCCATCACCGCCATTAAATCTGAGGGGGACGTGCCCCCCTCACATTTCATAATTATTCGTTTGGACCCCCCACACATTTAACATAAAATATTAGTTCACCCAGAGCTGTTTCTATTGCTTCGCGAAAGAATCCATTCCACTTGTTCGACATGAGAATACACATACCACTGAAAGACCACTCTGGGTTTTGCAGGAAATGCATCTAATTCATTAGAAAATTTCTGGGGGAGGGTCCCCAGACCCCCCGCCAGTGTGCCCCCCCAAATTCAAAATACTTCTGACGCCCCTGGGCAGGTCCACGGATGAGAGTTCAGGTGATTCATACTCTTCCCAAGAGTCCTTGCATGGAATATCTAGACTTAATATGCCCAACCTCAGGGGGTAAAGAGGGGGTTGGATTTCCGCTAAAAAAGGGCAAAGCTGTTGAGCATGAAATATGATGAATCTACATGACTCAAATTCCTTTAAGAACCTGCTATGACTTATTCCTCAAGCTTCAAGGTGAAGATGAAGACATAATTAACAGCGATAAAAATGGCACTGTTAAGTGCATGTGTGGCCTTGGTGCGATGACCGGGCCGTGAACCAGACCCCAGACATATTAAAGTCACTCTTCAATCTCCAGCTCCTCCCTTCATCTAGCCCAATAACGCTGCCACCAAGCATTCAAGATTCATGCCTGTTGAAGGTCACCAGACTGATTGTGTGTCTGTGAGATCCCTGAGATTATATGATCACTTGCTCATCCCTTTACAGTACGAAGAAGTCCTTCCTACTCGATGAGTCGTCTCACAAATGACTTGCACACCATTACAGTAAAAGGCACTTGACAGGAGTTGAGGGCGTCATTGGAATTCATAGTTCATAAGATGAGCTTGTGCTGTCTATGATTGGATGGTTGAAACCAATGGGAATCTAGGGGAGCCAAAAAAGTAATGAATGGTAATTGGGTTACATCTGAAGATGACTGACAGGATATGAATTGTCACCCACTGTGAATTGAATCTAGTGTAGAATGATTATGTTACTAAAAATTCAGGTGTTTATTAAGTTCTTAAAACTGTATTGAATCAAGAATTGATTATCAGACTGGTCTGCCAAATTTATTTTAGGTCTGAAATTCCTCCAGACATGTAACTTTACCGATGGAACTGAGGAGTGACTTTATAAGTTATAATTATATTGCGGAACAATCGATGCTTACAGATTAAAAAGTTTGCACTTGGTAGTATAGAAATTTTCATCTGACTGAGCTGACACATACATTAAATTCATTTGTAGCTGGATTATTGCGATCCACTACCACTCACTACTATGCAGTATCCCTGGAGATTAGCATATTAGCTTATAAAAAACAGTGCTGCATGATGAAACCTTATCAAGGTCTATTCAGGGAGAGGTCTATTACTGAGGGCACATGGCATGGTAGGGTTACATCTGACAGCTTTGTGCTACTTGAGGTTCAGCCCTGATAGAAGGTTAGGCACCATTGTTTTTACAGTAGAATGCCAGGAGATTTAACCAATGCCAACCTTCCTCACTCCTATTAAGAGAAAGAGTGATTCACTGTCCTTTAGTTTACAATTGATGGTACCAGGGGCATTTGTAATATTATACAGGATATTTTTACTTTTCTTCTTCAGAATTCCCCTTCCTTTTAGTCAATCCAAAGCCGATTTTGTGATAATCACTAAGATATTTCGATATAACGGTGCTGGTTTCATTTTAAACCTTTTTATGATGAAAAAAGTTTTGTTTATTCAAAGCATCATTTGTCACAATTTAAAGGGCATTTCTTTTCTTACTTTTGACAGAAAATGCACACAAATGTTGTCTTTACAATTTGCTTCAGACGGTAGAATCAAATTACGTTTTATACACTTGGCAAGATGTCTGTAAACAAATTTAATAGCAGAGGAAGCGGAAAACAGCCAGAGGCTCCCTGAAATTAGGAAGCGCAGGGAAAAAAGCAAGGTTATCAGAGTAAAAGTGTGAAGCGCTGCGGTCCTGCGCGGATTCTCCCACAGTTCAGTATGGCACAAGGTGCACTGACCAGATTTTTAAAGGCAGTTTTCTTACATATTTGTGTTTCTTCATTGAGGATCCAATATACTGAAATTTAAGGAAGGTGATTGTCATGGAGCAGCTGATGGCAGAGAGGTTGAAATTTACTGAGCCAAAAGGTTGCCCTTTGAAATCCTATGAAAGGTCTTGCAGTTCAAAGTTTCTTCATGCTATGCTAGTATTAAAGGTGTACATGAAGCGTAGAAATGAAGCGGGAAAAATACAAGTTCACTTTGGACAAAGATGTACGCTGAGGAATTATTTAGAGAAATGAATTCAAAAATGACCAGGTCTGTGACGCTACATAACAAGTGCTAATTTATAACTAATCACTCAAGTCAAATTCAAGGGTCAAGTCTGACGTTTGATATTTTCCTGACATTTCTTGAGGCTGACATTTATCCTTCGGGATCAAAATTTGTGTCGGTCTAGGAGTAGTAATTACATGGGTAGACAGAACTACAGGGGGCCTCGCTGACTGATGGCGATCAACATGACCGAGTCTGTAGAACTGATTTTAGATACCAAACATATGGATAATACCCACCGCTAGCTACCAATGACTTGGAGCTTGAGTTAGTGTTTTTTTTTTTTGACAGGGTGACATCTAATTCTCTTAGGTTTTACATGTCTTTCTTGTCAAGATGGTGGTCACCGTAGGATGATATAGCATTAACCCTGTGCCTCATGATGGCCTGTGTGGGCCTTTGACTGTGTTCCACCTAAGCTGTGTGTGCACTTTCTCATATGAAGAAAAACATTTGGCTAATATAAGGCTATGTATCATTTTTCCAATTTCAATTATATATGCACATGATGTTTTTATATGTTTACTGCAAGTCAGTGTTTTTCTTGTACGACATTCTTTTGTGGGAAATACATGTCCATTGTTCGTTGTTTCTGAATAAATTTTATATTGCTTTTATATTATTGTTACTTACAGATTACTTATACTGACAAACCATTCATTCATTGTGCATCAATGTCGAATTGAAATATTTGATAAAACACTGATATGTGTTTCAC